AGAGAAGGCTGAGGGGGGACCTGGTGACTGTCTATAAACTCACTAGGGGGGACCAGAAGGGTTTGGGAGAGACCTTGTTTCCCCTAGCACCCCTGGCATAACAAGGAATAACGGCCACAAGTTGTTGGAGAGTAGGTTTAGATTAGACAACCGTAAGAACTACTTCACGGTCAGGGCGGCTAGGATCTGGAACCAGCTTCCAAGGGAAGTAGTGCTGGCTCCTACCCTGGGGGTCTTTAAGAGGAGGCTTGATGCCTACCTAGCTGGGATCATTTGAGCCCAGTTTTTTTTCTCCTGCCCTGGCAGGGGGTTGGACTTAAAGATCTATAAGGTCCCTTCCGACCCGACTTCTATGATAAATCGTATCTGGGAGTTTAATATGATTCTACATTCAGCAAAAAATCCTTTGATGGGGCCATTAAAATTAAAAGAGTAAGTCAAGATTTTTTTTGATTCAGTAGTTATACATAAACAGTGAAAGTAGCATACCTGTGGGAAGACCCTTCAAAGCTTGACCCCCAACCTTATCCATCTAAAACTGCAGATGTTACCTTGTTGCTCTGACAGAGGACACAGAACAAACTAGAAAGGAGGAGGAAGCTACAGAGGAAAATCCTAAATGATGCTTATAAGAATCAACTATTCGTGTTCTTCATATCATAATATAGGAACACCTTTTTACTTATAAAACAAACAAATCTGATTTAACTTGCATAATACAAGTTGCACATGATTTTCTAATAAAATGCAGCCCTACCATGGAGAATGACAGGTAATAAAAATAGCTCAACCGCCAATCATCCTTTTACACCGAGAATGGTAAATTCGGCACTTTGTCTTTTTATACTTAGGATTCTATACGCAATTACACATCAGTAATACAAACCACTTCCAATTAATGGTTTCTTTCCTCCTTCAACTCGTATGTTTGCACTATTCAGTCCCTTAACTTTTACCAGTCGCACTGAAGTTACTAAGCTTCCTACCTTTTGCTGCGATGATACAGGGGGTGTACTCATCAAAGGTTTCAGAGGAACGGTGTTGGTTTGAGGCGTGCTAATTCGTGGAGATACATATGACCTTGGTGATGAGGCATCCGATGTTAAAGACATTGGAGACTGGTTAGATGGCTGAGCTGTGAAAGAAAAAAAAAAAAAAGTGATTTTATAGCATCTTCTCCCACCTTAGCATAAAAGGTACTATACAAGAAATAAAATGCAATATACTAAAAACAATAAAATACCACACTCAAAATACAAAGAGAACAAACCAACCTAACTTGAAGGAATGAACACATACGAAATGGTTGGGAGCAAGTAAATGGCAAGTAGAAAACACTAAAAAGGGAGGGGGGGATTTTGGAGGGGGGGAGGGAGGTTGGTTTTGTTGGGTTTTTTAAAATTTGTTTTGTGTTTTTTTGTTGGGATTTTTTGGGGTTTGTGTTGTGTGTTTTTTTTTTGTTTGTTTGTTTGTTTTTTATTTTATTATTTTTTTTAACCAGCAGCTGGAGTTCTTTGAGACAGAAAACCTGATGCATGTGGATACTATATCTGGAGACTTCTTACCTTAGCAGTATCCAAAGGGCACACCATTATCTCACTCTTATTTATACCCTTTGCTAAGGAGATAAAAGCCAGTGTGCCTTTCCAACTCCTTACTTGCCATTCAGACCCAGAATTCTATACTCCGTAACCCCCCAAAAGAAGAGCAGGCAGGCAGGGTACAGATATGCATATAGACAACACATCTCATAGAATTCTATTGATAAGTGTGCAAAGGCAGCCACCAGAAAAATTTCCATGGACAGGTCTACATGCTTATGCTACAGCAGATATTCTAATATAGTTAGAATAGAAGAATGGTCAAGCTCAATCTCCTTGTTACACACAAGATAGAAAGTGTGGTTCACTTAGCCACATGAGTGCACGGAAGAGTCTTTTCTGTTGTGGATAATATCCCTTACTTGTCAGAACAGCTCTGTTTGATCTCCTAGAGCAGGGGGTGGCTCAAACCCCTATCCTACAGGCCAAGTCTGGCCTATGAAACAGTCTGAGCTGGTCTGTGGGGCTACCCAAAAGAAGTGCAGAAATTTGTTGGGGGCAGGTTGACAGGCTCAATCTGGTCCAGGGCTGAGGCCACAGCCACAATATGGCTTGTGGGACTAGGGCTCAACGTGGAACACACCAGATCAAGAGTTGGCCCAAATGCACACCTGACTAGACCCGCAGACTAGATCCGGCCCAAGAACTCACCACAGACCACTCATACAGCCTGCAGGGCCAAAAGGTCCTGTCCTAGCTCTCCAGGCTGTCAAATGACAGGAATGAAGGTATGAACAAAAGCAGTATAGGTTGTAGCTGTACTGGCCTAAGGACATAGGCAGACATGGTTTTTTGGGCAGATCTTATCTTTTATTAGACCAACTCAAATAGTTGGAAAAATTGCTCTTTGCAAAGAATTTTTCCCAACTATTTGAATTGGTCTGAATGAAACACGCTTTCTTTCTCTCTGTCCTGAATAAGAAGGTCTGGGGACCAAATATAAAGCTTTGGAGTCCCTCATGGACATCAGAATGTCTGGGTACTAAAACTGTCTTGGAGGTTTCCGAGATCATCCAGTCTCCCTTTACAGAGTACCCATGAAATGGCACACAAGAGGGTTCGCATGATAAATGAGGGCATCAAAATGGAAAGTCTATACAAACATCTCCTGTGAAGAAAAAGGACTAGCACTTCGTGTTGAATTTGTTTGGCACTACAGGCTGAACCCAGACTCTGGGGCTTCCTACGGGCTCAACAGTCTGAGAGAAGTGATGTTAATTCCCACAACTGCCAGAGATGCTTGTTTTCAGCACAGCTCCAGAACCTAAGGAGTTAACACTTCTTGCTCCCCACTCTCCCACACCCTACCCTTACCCACTGCCAAAATCAGGTTATTCACCCTTGGCAACTAAGATCAGTAGCCAGGGGAAAAGGAGGACAAGCAGAAGCAGTATGAACTCCCTGAAACTGGCACTCAAATTTCTTTGCTCTTGCAGCCACAGCCCATGGGAAGCCCTGTAGCCCAGATTTAGCCTATGAGCCAAATGAGTTTGATACCTCTGGTCTAAACCTTTTATCTCTGGCTTTCTTAATGGTCAAAAGGATCAGAAGATCCTTGATGAACTAGAAGGAGATCCTTGATTGTTGATGGTAACTAGAAGATAATGTCCAGAGCATCTACAATCTTCAAAAGTATACTTAATGGTCTCTGACTCTCAAACTTAGAGGAACTCAAGAAGTCCTACACAATAGATCTCTTGCCAGTTTCTCTGAAGCCTGAAATGTAGGGTCTCCATGAAGAGCTAGTGTTGGAGGATACATACCTATCCAAATCTCCACTCTGTGTTCCCTTAAAAAATAAAGCTCTCTTGTGTGCTCATCTGATGCAGGTTTGTCATTGGTCACAAGACAGTCATAGTTTACATCCAGAGAATACCCATAAACCCTTCAAAAATAATGAAAAGGAAAGAAGGAAACTACTAATCTTTCTATCTGAAAAGGATATAATATATAGAAGACAGCCAAAGAGAGGAAAGGATGCCCCAGTGACCAGCACAGAGTAGTACCAGCAAAAATTAAAGGGAGACTAGCCCAAAAACAAGAACACTGCTTATAAGAATAATTCTTACATTATAGGCACTGCTAAGACAAAAGGTGCTTGAGATACATGCAGACCCACAGTGAGAGTGTGCATAACTATCATTTAAAGGAGAATACAGCTTTAAATGCCAGATTTTCATCAATGCTCAGAACATGAGAACAAGAGCTGCTGAACGCTGAGTATTTTTGTAATATATTCATTCTGATCAAGGCCTTGTTCTGAAAGCATGCATTGAAAATGTGGGTGCTGACCACTTCTGATTTTTTGCAAATGTGGACAAATGAATGTGTCTCATTCAAAATCTTTATTTAAAAGTACTGAATCTAATTAGAAGCATTAAAAACAACTTTAAGACTTTAGAACATTGCTTATTTCTACATGTACTACAGATAGCACAGTGGTTCTCAACATTTTTAGACTCAAGACATCCCTCTGACTACAAAAAAAATTATACAGCCATTCTTCTGTTGCAAAGAACTCAAAGATCATAGCAGGTCAAAATGTTTTTGGCAGCATTGATTTCTATTTGAAATCCCTGAATTCATCTTGAAAATCATTTGTAGGTGTTTGCACACTTACCAGTGCTAATACTGTGTGGCACCCCACTGCAGCCTTAAAAGCTTGGTCAAGAATCACTGATACAGCACCTACACCTAACCTCACGTCAAATCTCAAGCTCTACTGTATAAGCCATTGCTTCCCAAATTGCCTGGAGAAACAGAATTTGTCTTATACCTGGAATATTTACCTAGATTAACTACATAACTCAAAGTCTGAGGGAAGGGAATAAATTCTGGAACCAAAGATCTCTTAGAAAACGCATGGTCAAATACTTACTTAATATGAGGTTTAAATGTTAAAAGCGACTCTAAATTGGGTGTCACTACTAATCCTAAAGGCAGCTGACAGTAAAGAAAAATGCACTCTAGGCAAGCCTTAAATAGCAGAAGCTGGCTGACACTCTGCCTTGTACACTAAATCAAGGTTGTTCAACCTCTGGCCCCTGGTGCCAGATCATCTGGCCTACAGGACTTCCCACGATCAACAGGGAGCTCTGCAGGCTAGATCTGGTGCACAGGGCAGCTCAGGGCCCAATCCCAGCATGTGGGGCCTGGGCTGGACCGGGCCCCAGTCCCAACACACAGGAGGGTAGCACAAGGTTTGATCTGGCCCCATGCTATTCATCTGGCCCATGGGGCCAAAACCATGAGCACTGTTACACTGTATCAATCTAAACTGTTGATTAGAAACATGCAATGCCTAAAAGCCTGGTGTCTCCAAAAAGGTGGCATTACACAAGCAGTTATTAAGTCACAAAAGTGAAAACAAGGAATCATTAGACTTAATCTACTCTAATACATCAGCCTTGAGTTCCTTACATAAAGACTCTTTACCACATCCTTTGCTTGGAAAACTCTGCACTTCTGGTGCATCAGGCAACCTACATTAAAATGGTGTTACCCTCCCATTTGAACTGAAAGTTTAAGTTCTAGCGCTGTCATTCACCAATGACTTTTTTAAATTAAACTTTTAGAATGCAATTTTGCATAAGGACACGTAAGACTTTTAAATACCTTGCGTAGACAGCTGTGCAGCTTGAGAAATCAGGGAAGTAATATTGAAAGCAGATGGTCCAGCAGTGAGAATTTTATGGAGTATAGACTGCAGAGAGGCTTGTGTCACAGCTGCTGTAAGAACTGAAAAACAAGTATTGCTCTATGTAAAGCAAGACGTAGAAAGATTTTCAAGAGTGGATTTATGAACCTAATATTTATGCACCTAAACAAGAGAACTGTTTCTCATTGTTGGCAATGTGGGTGCTCACTTTATTTTTCAAAATCCTACCTAAATAGGATCTCTCTCTGCAGCTTAGTCCATAACATGCAATTCTTGTAAATACAAAACAAAAGGATTTAGTCATATTTTAGTTACAGTATGCAATCAGAATAAAGCCTATTGCTTTTTTAACTTCAGAACCTTCCAGATGCACAATACATCTTATTCCTATTATAATGATAATTGGCAGAGAATTTAATAATTTTTTTCCCATTCAGAAGATGGCCAGACATTAAAAACAAAAAATATGTGGAGAAAGGAAACACTTACACTCATTTCTCCTTTAGAAAAAATTGAGAAAAGTTTAAAAAGTTGTTGGGATTCTCTATTTTGGAACTTTTTCATTTAAAAAAGAAAATCTGAGACATAACTTTTTGTCTCACTGAACTGATTCTGTTTGCACAAATTTGGAGTTGCTACTTTTCTTACCAAAATGGGATAGTAAGTAGTTTTGGAAAAATCTCAGAAAAGTTCTTACAAGATAGTAAAACAATTTTCTGCCTGGCTTTTATTATGACATCATGATGTAGACCAGGGGCAGGCAATTATTTCGGGTGGAGGGCTGCTTACTGAGTTTTGGCAAGCCATTGAGGGCCATATGACAGGTATCCAGGGGATGATAAATATTCACTTTCTAAATTTTTTAGGGGCCCTGTGGGCCAGATAGAATGGCCTGGTAGACCGCATTTTGCCCACCCCTGATGCAGATACTAGTTATTCATTAGAAAGCATTTTCATAAGTAAAAGCTGTTACATAAATTATGATTTAGATTAATGTAAACAAAATTTCTAGGAACAATTTTAAAATTTGCATTTTTAGCACTTTCCCCAAAGCTATTTCAAATCTGTTAAACCCCTTAACTCTATGGTATAAGTACAAACAGTAGTATAAGAGCAATACTGTAGCTATGAAGGTCTAGAAATTGTATGACAGGCATTTGGGGGAAGAGGGAAGAAGACTTAAGGAAGAACGTCTTTCATTCGAAAACTTGTCTCACTTCATCCCAGCTACACAGGTGCTTCAATAAGCAATACCTGCCTAAGAAATCCTTGCCTCTCTCATAAGTACAAACTCCATTCTCCCACTTACATCAGGGATCAATTCAGAGCAAGGGCAAAAAACCCAAACACATTCCTCTCTGCCACCAGAGGCTAGCAAACTCTCAAATGTATACGTTATCTGAAACTCAGAATGAGAAATTTCAAGCAGCATCTAAAACAATTAAGTTTGATATAAACCTACAGAAAAACCTAAACACTTCTCCAACAAAGTGCAGGATCACTGATGGACTTAATCATGGATTCCATACACAAAGCATTAACTGCTAACAAAGAATTAATATGTAACTTAAGTTAACTTTATGAACTTTAAAAAAAATGGGTATTATAATTTAGTCTAGGCAACACTGAAAAAGCTGCTCAATGGTTTGCAAGTTACTTTTCCAAATATTTTTACCATCTGAATGCTATTTATTCCCAATCTTCATCATCAGAATAAAAGCCATCTCCCAAGGACCAACAAATACTCTACAGCAGGCATTTGCAGCTTACAGCTCTGGTGGAGGGGGCCTCTCCCTGCACCATGCCACAGGGCCAGCAGGGACAACTGGGACTCAATGCCCACCATCTCAGACCCATGTTAGGTCAATCTGGTCCCCACTGGAAAACACTACCAACCTGCACTCATTTCCTGTTACACTAAACAAAACTGGTAGTCAATGAGCTTTAAGGGTCAATGAAAAAAACAGCCTTAGTGAACACCCTATGTAATGAGTTATTACAACACAAGCACAAACTACAGAGGATTACAGTTTCAACAGAACCAGTTGGCACTGGTAACAGAAAAAGGGCAAGATCCAGTACCACTAATGTAACCCAAACTCTCCTTTCTGGCAGCTGATAAAAACTAAATACTGTATGCAGGAACAAACACCAACAGACTGAAGAAATCTCAGATCCCATGAGACTGCTTATGTACACAAATATTTATTTAGTTGATGATCTGCTAATTAGATAAAATGATCATTATATAGGCTGAGTTAAAAAAAACCCTGAAAACTAAAACAGTAAGGCTAAGTTTACCCAGGTTTTTTTTTTTTCTTTATTTTGTACTATTTTGTTTTGTCACCTCATTTCTAAAGGTTTTCAACATTTTTATGCCTTGTTATAAACAGAACTTGCAAAATAAAACGTAAATTTTATGAATTATTTTTAGCATCCTTACCTTCATTTATTTTGGATATATCTACGCTAGAATTATTAAGCTGCAGAGTAGCTTGCAGAGCAGGTAGCAGCTGTCGAAGGAGATTTGGGTCCTGAAGTAATGGAGGAATTGGTGATTGTGGGACAGGTGAGACAGGGACTGTAGAAGTAGATGAAGTAGGTGCAGATGTTGGATTCAGTCCAGAAGCAGATGTAGAAGGAGTTGTGCAAGAATGGGATACAGATTTGTCCACTGATGTAGACTCTGAACAGAAGACAGACAGTAATTTACATTTTTCCTTTGCAACACAACTTTTGGTCACATTCTCACTAGCACAATATTCACATGAAATAGGTAATATTAATTTCTTGCCTATTTTCTCAAAAGAAGGTTAAGTTTATATAAAAGATAATGGGTTTACACAAAGTAGCTTATTGCAGCTTATTATGAAAAAGGAACACATCTTATTCTGGAAACTTGCAATTTTTTCAAGCTTAATACACCTTAGCATGATTGCACTTTACACTGATGTTCAGACTTCTTTATTAATACTGTACTCCATTTAAATGCATCGGCTTGAGCCTGAAAAAGGCTATGCACTTACTTGGAACATGCACTTATCTGAACTTAATGTACACAATAAGCACACAGTACTGCCAGTGCTGTGGTATTAGCAGCCCTTTAACTAGCTATTATTTTCACAGCTTCTAACAGCAGCATTTTGACAGTTGCTTCCCCATCACTGTTTCTCTGCAGTTAACCAGCATATATTATGTTATAAAGCAAGCAGTGCAAGATACTATGAACTTAACCAACACGTTAATCAATGTTTGTTACTACGAAAGTAACTGATAACAAAATTGGGATTGGCACTGTGTTATATAGTTATGCTAATTATATACACATCAGGTTTCACATAACCAGAGTATTTTACACAGAGATCCATACTGAAAGTTGACAAAGATGCACCAGAAACAGAGTTTCTCTCATGGAAGTTTGTTTTTTTTTCTTGTTGCCATAAAAATAAACTAAAATGTTCCTTTGATTTTTTCTTCCATTAAGCACATACTCCAAGTGCACCATACACTTGCCAGTGACTGCTCTTTTTTTTCTTTTTTTTTTTTTTAAAAGTATAAATAATTAAAAGTGTTCTTAAGAATTCCATGGATTTTACAAACAGGAGGAACTGTCAAAGTTGAGGTATAAAAAAGAATAGCAAGCAGTTACAGAACAGAAAGAAAGTCTGCCAAAATGGGATCCAATCAAGTTCAAATAGTGTGGCAACCTGTCACTGGCAGTGTGCAGTTAAGAATTCATATTCATGGAAGAGGTTTCTTATGATATCTGAAAGAGCTTAGTTTATACCCTGAAGCATAAAGGGATTATATCTTTTATTTTTCTAAGACCACTTTAATAAAGTGTTGATGCTAATTATCCATCTACATCTGCTTCTTTCTGGAATCCAATTCAAGTCCTACATTTAATTGCATCTTATGGCAAATAATTCCACAGAATGTGCATTCCATAAAAAAGTGCTTCAAGTCTTAAATTTGACTTCTACTTTATAAAAATATACTTTAATTCTTGTATTATGAGAATAGGTCATTGGTACATTTCCATTAGAAGTGCACCGATATATCAGTACATATTGGATCATCACCAATAAAAGAAAAAATAACATTATCAGCAATCAGCATGTTTTGGCTGGTGTAGCTGATAATGTCACCAATAAATGCTGCATGCATGAATGCAGCCGCAGCATCTACCTGCATGCAGCCAGGCACCTTGGAGAGCAGCATCTTGCTGGTAAGTCTGTGGGGGG